TGCCTCAACCTCCTCAGTGCTGGGATTACAGGCGTGCGCCACCATACCCGGCTGAACTAAAATTGAAATGAACCAAAAACTTAAATATTAAGAGAGAAATACTTAACCTGCCGGAATATAGATTAGTAGAACTCTTTTTTCTTTTTTTTCGGTACCAGGAATCAAACCCATGACCTCATGCATGCCAGGCAGGCACTGTGCCGCTGAGCTAAATCCCCAACCCTAGGTAGAACTCTTGTTTTTTTTTTTTTTCCGGTACCAGGAATCAAACTCACGACCTCACGCTTGCCAGGCAGGCGCTGTGCCGCTGAGCTAAATCCCCAGCCCCTCCTAGGTAGAACTCTTGAAGACATAGGTTTAGGCAAAACATTTATGAACAAAACCCTGATTGGACAGGAAATACTAGAGTCAACAACTGAGATCATATCCAATTAAAAAGCTTTTTTTGCACAGCAAAAGAAAGGACCAACGGAGTGAAGAAACAACCCACAAAATGGGAAAAAATTTTTACCAGTTACTCCTCAAAGGACTAACATCTAATTTACATAAAGAATTAAAAAATCAGACTCCCCTCCAAATTTAAAGACCCAGTCCAAAAGTGGGCGTCTGAAATGATGAAGTTCAAAAAGCAGTTCCTACTGCTCCGCCATGAATAAGGGTAACCCTGAGGCAGTTTTAGGTAAATGGATGCACCGCGAGACCATAACTTTAAATGAAATAAATCAGGCACACAAGTTTTAACATTGCGTTGTTTCTTTTGTGTGAGAAACCCAAGGGGTAAGTAAGGACCAAAACAGAGGACAGATGGGAAGTAGGAAGGACATGTTCTAGTGGACAGGGAAATAAAAGGGAGGGGGAAGGGAAACAGGACTTAAAAAACAATGGAGGGAAAACTGGAAAAAAGCTCTTGCAAATGGCGAGAAGAAGGGTTGAGAGGGAACGGAGTGGGAAAAAAGAATTAAGTGATGTTATGTACTGGTACTACTTTCCTATGATCAGTGAGGTCGTTATGCACAGCAAATATGTACTAGTAAAAATAAATGAGAAATAAATACTTCTCAGGAGCTGATCAGTCAATCTTATGGAGGAGCTCATGGCAAAATACGTAATAAAAGAGAGAATGCAATAGGGTTTTCGGGTGGCCAGGAAGGTCAGAGCTCTCGTGTGGCTAAAGCAAAGGCTTCTCCGGGTTGCCCACTATTTATTGCGTAATTTCATATAGGAAGAGGGCAGGGAGGTGCAGGGAATAGCTGAGGGCAGAGATGTGATAGTGAGCTAGGACTGTGACATGGAACAAAGACTTTCCAAGCAGCAAATCTTTGCTTTACGGGAGGCCTGTCTGGTCCCCGAGGTTGGCAGTGTGGCCCTGAGTTCTGAGTGAGGTTGACTGCCCTCAGCCACGGGGTTTTTCTTGCCTTCAATGGCGTTGCAGTGTGTCAGACCACTGCAGGGCTCTGCGGAGGCTGCTGGTGTGGAGAGGTCTATTTTCTGTGTGCCGGCCGCTGGCTCTCTGGGCAAGTCACAGAGGCCTGGAACAGACTCATAAGTTAGTATAGACAAGCCGATTCAAGGGCTGGGGATTTAGCTCAGCGGCACAAGTGCCTGCCTGGCAAGTGCAAGGTCCTGAGTTCGATTTCCGGTACCAAAAAAAAAAAAAAAAAAAAAGAAAGAAAAGCCAACTGATTAATTCTAAAGCCTGTTCAGCGCTGCCTCATGTGGTCTCCATTAAATACTAAAACTAGAGGTTCCATTTGACCCAGCTATTCCCCCTCTAGGTATCTTCCCAAAAGAGCTACAGTCGTCATCCCACGGTGATACATGCACATCTGTGTATATAGCAGCATGGTTGATAGTAGCTAAATGTTGGAGACAGATCATATGGCCATCACCATGCATGGATAAAGAAAATGTATTTATATATAATGGAGTACTATTCTATTAGGAAGAAGGTTAAACTTAAAACATTTTTAGGTAAATGGATGCAACTCAAGACCATAAAACCATACATGAAATAAATCAGACACACAAGTTTAACTGCTGCATTGCTTCACCGTGTGAGAAATCTAAGTATAAATAAAGAGCAAAACAGAAGATAGATGCTAAGCAGTACATAGATAGCTATTAATCTCAGCATTCGTGAGGCTGAGGCAGGAGGATCACTGTGAGTTTGAGGCTATCCTGGGCTACACAGTGAGTTCAAATCCAGCCTGAACTACATAGTGAGACCCTGTCTGAAACAACAACAAACAACAACAACAAAACCATTTTCAAATGGGAAGGGAAAAAAGAGGTGGGGGAAGAGAGAAGAAAGGGAAATGAGACTTAAAGAACAAATAGAACTGCAGGGGAAATGGAAATGAGCTTTTGTAAGTGGGGAGAGGATGAGAGGCTGGAGGCGCGGCGGACAAAGACAGTTAAGGTGTGCTGTCCTGTGACGAAGGTGATCGTGATGGACTCCAAACTAAGAAAAATAGATAAATGTTTAAGAAAGAGATGAGCTTTGTGGAGAGTTTTAGGTCCTGGGGCAGATCCACCGAGGGGACTGTGGCACTCTGGGCTCCTTTGTACTCTTATTCCCAGCCATGAGGTGGATGAATTTCCTCCATCACAACTGCCATGAGATTTTCTGGCTTGCCATGGATCAATGAGACAAACTTACAGTGGACTGAAACTTCCAAAACCATGAACCAAGAGATCTTTTAAAGTTGATTTTCAACCAAGCGTGGTGGCACACACCTGTAATCTCAGCACTCGGGAGGCTGAGGCAAGAAGATTGCCACGAGTTTAAGGACAGCCGAGGCTATACAGTGGGCTGAAGTCCAGCCTGGACTACATGGTGAGTCCCTATCTCAAAAAAAAAAGTTGATTTTCTTGGGGATTTTATTGTAGTGATAGCTAACATGGGCATGGTCTTCCTTTCTTGGGACTGTTAGGACCCTTTACCTTTTTTTTTCTTAAACCCTAGCAACTAGCCAGTGCCGAACGTACAGGTGTACTCTGTCATCCACAAATACGCTCACTCTGCTAGAGCGTCCTTGCCACGAGTCTCACACACATGCGTGAGCTTGAGGGGCCAGGAATGTAACTGTCGTGGTAGAGCACTTGCCTAACACACGCAAGGCCCTGGGCTTCAATCTCAGCATTCAAAAATAAAAATACTGAGACAGTAGTATTACTATAGCTCTGAATATACAGGCACACATCTTTCCCTTTTTTAGGATGGCTAGTCTGTAAACACGCAGTAAGCCCTTGCTGAGTGTCTTCCTACCTTACCCCTTACGCAGGTCTTTGCCCTACACTCTTAAGCCCACTGGATGTGGATGGGAAGAATCTGATGAGGACAGGGTTGGATCCCACAGTTGTTTATAAAACTCTTAGGGGACCAGCTGGCTCCCTGCCTTGTAGGCGCCTGGAGGAAGGGCCCCCGGCGCACGGGGAGCCACGCGGCTGCGAGCTGGCCCTCAGCCCGGCCCTCAGGCCGGCCGCCGCCGCTCAATTGAGAACTACCACGACACAGAGAAACAATGACACAATTGGCCCACCATGCACCAGCTGCAGATGCCTACCCATGGACGTGTGTGAACCATTCAAACATGGAGAAACCCCTGGAAATACATGCCATACAACGGGCCACTCTTGCTCCTGCCATTGAGAACCAGAAAGGTCCAGAGTCAGCGGAGGAGCAGCTGCTGAACAAGGACTCAGAGAACATGAGAATACAGACTAAGCCTGAGGAGTCAGAGGTCCTGTGGACTGGGGTCATGAGAGCTGCTTGGAAGCTGTAAACCAGGAGGCCCTTGCACAATACATGCTGAGACTCCCTGGAAGCCACTCTTCCCCTGACAGTACAGGCTGTGGTGGAGCTCCGGAGAAGTCTGCAGCAAGATTCCTGCTGCCTGTGCTGACAGTTGGGGAGAGGACACTAACTGGTTGTGGGGTCCCAATGCGATGGGAGGCTGGAGAGAAAACGCTACAAAAAATGGCTTTGGCCCCAGACGGCTCACTAGATTTTTGACAACCCTTAGGCTGTAACTACTTGTTAGATCCTTCTTGCGTATCTCTGTCTTCCTGAGAAACCACTTTGAAGATACCACCATGTATTACAGCAGCCATTGATATTTTCCTACTAATCTATCCATAACTCTGCAATGTTTGTATTGTTCCTATCCTATTTTGTAAATGGATGCATGTCTATTATTATGTGTTTCCTACAATAACCATTGAGAATAGTTAATGATTATTCAATAGGTCACTCATGTATAGCTCTATTTATTTTCTTTAGAAGCCACTTTGAAGATACCAAAGTATAGTACAACAACTCTTGATAATCTCCTACCTCTTTGTCTGTAACTCATTATTATTTGTCTATTTGTGTTCCTGAGAAACTATCTTGTAGATAACAATATGTGAAACAATAACCACTGATAATTTCCTACCACTTTGTCTGTAATTTGGTAAGCCCCCCCCCATTATTATGTTAGCCTTCTTTCACTCTTCAAAAAAAAAAAAAAAACTCTTAGGGGAATTTGCTCAACACAACTATGGAAAGTTTTGATAATGTCTATTCTTGTGCACTTTTAACAGTCCATTTTAAAAACTCTTAGGTAATATTTTTAGTTAAATATACTGTAAGGAATTTGCTTTATTGAATTTTTTATTGGTAAATCTTAAAACCATTAAAAATAAAAGTTCAATCAGCAGAGTTTGTAGCAGAATTACAGATTTTATTAGTTACCAGTTCATCACCAATTTATATTGACTGTCGGCTTGATAGCTACAGAACTGTATTAGAAGCACAAGCATAAGGATTTAGTAAGCAAGGAAAAGGTGAAAATATCTCTGCCATTTTTCTCTAGTATGTTTGGCATGTTTATCAAAGGATATTTGATAATGGCAGTTTGAAAAATAAAGAGCTTACAGGTTTAATGTCTCCAGTTTTATGTGCAAGTCCAGAAAATAATGAAGATATGTCTAGTTTTAAAAACTAGACTTATAGACTAGATCAATCATACTAACATTTGTTTTATCTAAGAATTACTGGAGCTTATACAGAAAAAAATAAGTGGGTAGTACTTCCATACATATTGACACAGAAAACCATTAGGCAGCTTCAAAACTTGGGTATGTGGAGTCTAAACTGAAATCTGGCTGCAGGTGTTGTAGCTCCTGCAGACAGGTGTGAGCTCTTGAGGTGCTTAAATAGCTTCCACGTAGTTCGCTGGGAGCATGCCGGTCCTGCCTGTCCTCTGCACGGTGCCGTACATCCAACCTTCGTCAATAGCTTGAACATTTACAATAGCATCTCCATCTTTGAAGGACACCTCATCTGCATCTGCAGCCATGTAGTCATACATGGCACGGAATATTTTCTATTTATGGGGATGGAATTTAAAAAGGAAATTACATATTGGATTTGTAACCATTAAGTACCTAATTTTAAGATCTGTTATGACTTCTTTCCCCTAATTTAAATTGCATAAAAGAAAATGTGTAACTAACACCAACAAAGTAAAAATGCATAGAATAAGGAAATGTTTGCATATCATGTATTTGATAAGGAATTAGCATGCAGAATGTATAGAGAAGTCCTATAATTCAACACCAAAAATCGAAAGTAAAAAAAATACGAATTGACATTTCCACAAGGATATACAAATTGTCAATAAACACATAAAAATATACTCAACATCAGTAGATATAAGGGAAATCCAACTCAAAACAACACACACCAGAATAACGATAATTGTTAGAAAGACAATAACAGATTTTAGAGGCACTGGAGAGAAGCTGGAGTTTTCATAAACTGCTGGTAGCTGCCGGGCACAGGGGCACACACCTATCATCTCAGCACTTGGGAGGCTGAGGCCAGAGGGTCGCCAGGAGTTCGAGGCCAGCCTGGCCTACATAGTGAATTCAAGGCCAGACTGAACTACCTGGCAAGATCCTGTCTTCAAAAACAAAACAAATGCAACATCTGGTGGGAACATTATCTAGCATAGCCACTTTGGAAAATAGTTTTGCATTTATCACATTAAATACAGAATTGCTGCCTGACCCAGCAATTCCATTCCTAGATATGTGTATACACAAAAGGAATGTGAACACATCTGCACAATAACTCACACACCCAGAGTCCCAGCACCGTGACAGTAGCCCCAGAGTGGAGACAAGATGCCTCCCTACCGACTGATAAACAAAATGGACATATGTATACAATGAAATGTTATTTGGTAATAAAAAGAATGAAATACTGATAGAAACATGGATGAACCTCAAAACATTAAGCAGAAAAAGTCATGTATCAGAGTTCACATACTGTATGAGTCTGTTTATACAAGATGTCCCAAACAGGCAAGTCTGTGTACAGAAGAGGGAACACCTAGGGTCGAACGGGACGGAAAGGGCAAGCTGGGTGTGGAGAGTGAATGCTGATGGGCAAAGCTCTTTAATGTTTCTGAAAATATTCTAAGATCACGATAGTGATGAAATAGCTATGTAGATGAGATAAACGTGAATCATACGCTTTACGATCTCCATACTATTTAATTGTATACTCATAAGGCGTAGAAAAGTGTGCTAATTTTATATGTGGCTGTGGCCTTTTTCTCTAGTTTGTGGAGGTCAAGTTTGTGTTTCAGGAGAGAATCTGAAATCTAGCAATTTTGATTGCACAAAACTTGGTCAGAATCTCAATGGAGTCACTTTTGTCGAGTCATTTCCACAAAGAAAAAGAAAGCCAGAAGAGTATGAGGGAAAGGAAAGGTTTGTAGGCACGACTGCCCGACAGTGACTTGCACGGAAGACGGCCGGAACCACTGGCCTGCACAAAGGCCTGGGCAGCCTCACCCAGCGCTTAGAGGTCATCTCTCCACGAGTGTGCGCGCAGCGTCAGACCTCGTTAGTACTCATAGCCAAAGACCATCGTTTCAAAATGTTTTATGTGAGCCTCATTTTGTCTTGAAGACACTCCCAGTGCCTCGTCCTCCTTGAATGCATGTGTAGTTTTCTACGGCACGCGTATTATGGCGGTGCTCTTCCACCCCCAAATACATTACTATTCTTTGGGAAATCTCGGAGTATTATTCAGGTCGGCACATGTCATCTCTCACTTTGGGAATTTAGAAGCGTACCAGTAGCAAAAGTTGTTAAAAGTCATTTAAGGCAATGTTAAAAAATGGTAAAACTTTGGAGATATAAATAATAAATGAAAACTCTGGGTTTCTTCAGAGGAGCAGCCTCTTGTGGGTTGAGAATGTAACCTATGCACTTTTTCTTGCATTCTGAAATACGGACACACACATTTATAAACAAATTTTTCCCTTTCACCACTGCATAAGTGGAACAGTACTATAAATAATACTCTGCCCTGTCCTTCCCAGTTAATATTGCTTGCAGGTCTTTAAATATAAATAGAAAGTAGGCTTTTTGAGCTCTGCAAAGCCTTTCACATTTTAGTAATGCCACAAATTATTTAGCCATTTCCATTTTTCTGTACCGCAGTTATCGCTGTGTTATTTAAACACTATAATGATCCATCCTAGTGTTTGTCTTGGACAAATAAATTTGTGAAAAAAACAAAGGTAAAAGTGCTAGGTCAAATTGTGTGTTTCAATTATTTCTTGAGAGTTTACTACTCCAATATTCAGGGGCGATACTGTAATATTGTTTTCATTCGCTTGTTCCCGTTACCAGCCGTAGCAAACACTTTTTGGTGGCCGTCTTCGTTGCTTTTGCCACAACTTGTCTATTCATGCTCTTGCAGGTCTTTCTTACTTTGAGAGAGAAGGGGAATAAGTTATCCTTGCATTTGCAGTACATTTAGCTTTTAAAATATTAATCTTCATTATATATGCCATCAATATTGTCTCCAAGTCTGATATGTTTCTTTTTATTGAAGAAACAATTAAAACTTTATGGTCTTTTTCTTTACATTCCTAGATCTTGCACGTTACTTTTCTCATTTTTAATGTTATTAAAGTAGTCTCTTTTTCTGGAGTACTTTTACAGTTCTGTTTTTCACATTTGGATCTTTGGTGGAGCTGCTATTTAAGTATGGTTTGAGATAAGTATCTTTTTAGCCTAGTTATCCCAAGATCGTATAACTAAATGCCTCATCCCTTTCCATCTGATTTGTAGTTATTTCAGGAGTCTAGTTCTGGTTTTCATCTACTTTTGTATCTTAATGCCAAATCCTTATAGTACGCTTTGTTCTTTTATGCCTGAACTCTTTACAATTATCATTTTCAAAAGGTGTTTTATTATTCTTGTATCTTTACTCTTTCAAACAAATCTTAGAATTAGCACACGTATTTTTAAAAGTCCTATTGGGAATTAACTGAAATTGCTTGGTATAATTGATTTGTTTCAGGAAAAATGACAAATTTACAACACTCCCTTCCTGAAATATGGTGGTTACCAAAACATACATAGATTGTCTTTAATATTCCTGTTGAAGATTACTGTCTTCATACAAATGTCATCCATTTCAATCCTAAAGTTATGTTTTGGGAACATATTATGGATGAGACCTGGGTTTTAAAATAAGAGTTGTAAAGTAGCCTGGTCAAGTGTGAGCATGATACCTTTTCACTATGTATGAATAAGGGAGATCTAAGATATGACATACATGTGTGCATATATGTATATGTATATACAGCCTTAAAAATTATTCCAGGGAGTAAATGTTTAGTTTAAGATTGCATGTAGAACCAATGTGCCCAAGTTAATACTTTGCTCTAATTTTTTTTTTCTGTCTTTTTGAGATGGTCTCGCTATGCAGTTCAGGCTGGCCTTGAACTCACGTTATAGCCCAGGCTGGCCCTGAATTCACAGTGATCTTCCTGCCTCAGCCTCCCGAGTGCTGGAATTACAGGTGTGTGCCACCATGCCCGGCCTTGCTCTAATTTTTAAAATCACTGAAAAATGCTCTTCATTACTTTGGGTTTGCATGGTCATTAAGGTTTTCTGGTGCTGACCATTGACATGAAGTGTGTAGTAGAATACTGCCTATAAAATTTTGTTTTCAAAAAGAGGAAAAGATCAGAATACTTATAATCATTATTACACAGAATAAAAAACAAGAATGATTTGAGTAAGGTATTGATTGTTACTTACTCCAGCTGTAGAGGGATGAGATGGGATAGAAGATAATGTTGTCTGTTGGGTAGCAACTGACGATGATCTTTGTTGTGGAAGCTCTGTGGTTTTTACATGTTTGTAAGCTGCAGAGGAGGAACGGATAGCTTATTTTTTTAAAAGTGTCTAGACATTTAATCGTTGTCAACTAATAAATTAATTGAATCTAATTAATTTCAACTAAATCTAATTGAAAATGACATCTCTAACATCATGAAAATCTCCACAGTTCTGGTCTCTAGTTATCAGAAGATCAATTTTTTAAAAATCACAGTATCTCGTAGTCACAGTGAGCTGACCGGCCAGACCGCCGAAGCCAGCCCCACCCGCTCCTACCTGCGGAGGTTGTAGAGAAAAAGGCGCCTCCATCGCTGTAGGTGGAGAGGTGGCGGCCGGCGGCTTCCGAGTGCTCAGATTTCTCCTCCCCAGCACTCATGCTCAGCGCGCTGGCAGATCGCGATTGCTCCCGGCTCCGGCGCTGAGCTTGGGCTGGCAGAAATGAGATTGCGAGAGATGTAGCAGAGGTGAAAGTCCTGCAGCTCTACGGTAGCAACTCGGAACAGCAGCTGGGTCTCGGTTGTGATTGGTGGTGGTGGCGGTGGTGGTGTGCGTGCGTGTGTGTTTATCCAAGAATTTTTAAGCAGTTTTCATGGATTAAACCCTTCCAATTCTATTCTTGTTAGTACTAATATTATTTCTGAGAGGACGGTCTTGCTCTGTTACCCAGGCTGACCTTGAATTTGAGATCCTTCCACCTGAGCCTCCTGAGTAGCTGGGATTGCAAGCATGCCCCGCCAGGCCCAGCTCCCTAGGACTCTTCTGACATACGGCCGTCATCCTTGTCTTATAGGTGGGAGCCAAAGGTCATGTAACAGGGGACACAGCCAGATTTCAAATCCGTTAACTGTTACTGTCCCTCACAAGTTTCCCTGTTTTCCTGGCTCACCAAAATAAATAGTAATCACATTCAGATTCCATGTTCAGCTTTCTAGAAAATCCTCCCTCAGCCCCAGATTGACGGAGATGCTTTCTCTGTGTTTCTATGACGCTGTGGGCAGATCTTTACAACTGTGCTGTTAGCAGGTGTATACCAGGGCTCACCAGTCTCTCTTTATCAGTAAGCAAGAGTCAAAATCCTTTAAGGAATGGTGTCACGTATTATTCTACTTTCTAACGTGAAGAGGAACCATAAAGACACGGCGCTGCTTTGGAGAATGAGTAATCTTCCTTAACGTGAGAGAGTTCAGAAAATACACAAAGCTCACATCCATTCCCTTCTTTTTGCCTAGGTTTTTTTTTTTTTTTTTCCCTCCGGTACCGGGAACCGAACTCACAACCTTGCGCTTGCCGGGCAGGCGCTTTTGCCGCTGAGCTAAATCCCCAGCCCCTTGCCTAGGTATTTTCTTGTCATCATTTCTCTGGAGAAATGATAATAACAGGGCCTGAAGGAAACATGAACTGAGGCAGTGAGTGAGACCCTTGCCCTAACTTGGACTTGTCTAGGAAATCTGTTCTTAACTTGACGCATGTGGCCCACTAGTCAATGGGTGACTCAGAAGATGAAAGATCCTGGGCCAGGCATGGCGGCACGTGCCTGGAGTTCCATCTACTTGGAGGCTGAAGCGGGACAAGTCTAGGCAACTTAGTGCGACCCTGTGTCAAAACTAAAATGTAAAAAGGTAGAAGATGTAGTTCTGAGTCCCCTGGGTTCAATCCCCAAAACAGAAAGCCAAAACAGAACAAAACTCTGAAGGGAAGCAACTTCAGAACCTAAAAGCCATCGACTAACTCACGCAGCGGAGACATGCATGCTGGCAGCCTCTTGCGGTGTAACGTACCGTTGATCATGTGTAAGCTTCGGGACTGAATATTGTCCTCTGCGGGGTCGTAGTCAAAAACTGAGCCAGGATTAGTGCGCCAGACACGTAAACCTGGAATGAGTATTGGTGATCAGAACACACGCTCTTGCGTGCTTTTGGCTACTTCAAAACCAAAGCAGGAATTTAAACAAGTACAAGAGGATTGAACCCCCTTCCTTGACTTAGGTTCAGGTCCTTTTCTCTGAAGAAGAGATAAGTTTAAAAATACAGTAGAAGAGACCTCAGTTTTGCAAACTGTGCTATAAGAGGGGCTTTCTTTCACAAATAATGAAGACAGACTGAGGTCTTTGGACTTTGACTTGATGTGCGGAATGTCGCTTTTGTGCTCAGTTACCCGTGATAGTCTCCTGATCCTGGTCATTCCGTCTTTGTTCCATTTCTACCACTTTTCGCTGAATGCCTCGGTAGTTAATGTCACTGAAGTCCTGCGTGTTCTTCTTGACTCGTTCAGTGATAGGGTCTGTCACCACTGGTGTGAAGCAACCTTTATGCTTCTCAAAGTCTTCATGGTACTTCACCTGAAATGTCATGAATTCGCTCGATAAACACAGCACGGTGTGACCATTTTTCTTTTCCCCTGCTCTGGAAGTCTAGCCATCCCACCCCGAGGTGCCGACTCACCGTTGAGATGTGCCGCTGGGTTTCCCTCACCCGTCTCATCTCAGGGGTATCTAGCACGTAGGCAGCCTTGCCTTGGATCTGCTTCCTGAAGCTGTCAGAATAAAGAACCTGCGGAGGGGAGAGCACGCGTGAGCACAGAGCACGTCCCGCTTCTGCAGGCCTGAAGCCTTTCCAACACACCGAGACGAGAGAAGCCGGTGAGGGGAGCTTGAGTGGGCTGACAGGACCCGGGGGACACACGACTAACGGCGGGCCAGGTCAGCGTGAGGACAGGCGGGGCTGGCATCAGCTTCTTACTTTGAAAATGGAATGCTCATTTTCAAAGAAGAAGGGGCACAGTATAATTTTGGAAAAGAAGTAGTTTCTTGAATTTTCTGGGCATTGTAGCACCAGCACCAGTATGTTCAGTGATATTTAGCACTAACTCTGATACTGAACGAGATCGGAAAGAACTGTGCTTTGTAACAAATTCTCACTTCTTAGGTGATGTCCACATTGCATAAACCGATAGGCTCAAACAGAAATTCAAGTCCTCTCAGCACTATAATCCCAGAATAACAAAGCCAGCAAATAACACCTATTTCTAAGTAGTACCCGTTTCACAGAGTACCTTAAAAATAACGGAGAGCAGAAGACGGAGGATGTTAGGGAGTCAATTTGTTATAGCTGGTTACATGAAAAACTACCTCAGAGTAAAGAAAAACACTGGCAATTAACTTATGTTTAGTATGATCACTTGGAACTGAAAAGCCCAGTTGTGTTAATTTTAGTGTCAATTTTCAGTGGAAGAAGAAAGTGCGCATCAATTTTATGGTGTTAAAAAGTTATTTTCCAAGAGGTTGCATTTCTCTCTCTTTAAATTTTAGTGTGTTTTTCAGATGAACGGAGAGACATGTTTTTATTGTGTTAAAATGTTATTTTCCACGTTGCTGTACTACTCCTTCTTAATCCTAGAAAATACCGAGCTAATGTTTTCTTGGTTGCGCTTAGCTCTCTCCATCTCTGGAGTGACAGGTGTTGGAGTTGCTTTTCTCATGTTTTCTTTGTACAATACCTAGGGGAGCCAAGAGAGCATCCAGACGTCAGACAGCAGAAAACCAGTTCAGAAAATGTATCATTTCATTAGTGTTACGACTCGATTATAGCACACGCTGTGAGAAACACCTCCGGGAGGGAAAGCCATTAAAACGTTACGGTGGGAAGCAAAAGGTACGAAAGAAGGAAACACTGAGCCTGTGGGGTTGGTTTGTTGTTTTTAAGCAGAAAAGGAAGAATTTTAAAAGATACACAGGATTCTGGAAACACTGTGAGATCAATTAGTGGTATCAGCACGATGGCCAGTCTTGTTAAACTCTTTTCTTGTTAAATTTTTAACGATTTATTTCTCCTGTCTGAAATACCGAGCTAAAATTTTCTTGATTGCGTTTGACTCTTTCCATCTCAGGAGTAAAGGGTGTGGGGGTCGCTTTCCCCATGTTCTCTTTGTATAGCACCTGCGAAATACAAAGTTGCACCCCAAATCACTAAGAGGCAATATTCACCACCATAGACTGCGGGGCGGGGCGGGGCGACACACTGGGTTTCATCTATTATTATTAGTCAAGTAGCTCTCCAGGGGAAAGCTTTAAAAAGAGTTAACGGCCGCAGCAAACGTAGTATAATATTTCAAGGAGATTCAAATGTAACTGGTATTTTGTTTTTAACTCTGGGTGGGGTTAGGAGCGGGCAAAACTGCACAGGTTATTTTGTGAAATTAAAAGCACTTTCATTTCTCAAAGACAATACCGAGCTAATGTTTTCTTGATTGCGTTTGACTCTCTGCATCTCTGGAGTGACTGGGGTTGGGGTGGCTTTCCCCACATTTTCTTTGTACAAAACCTATGTGAGTCCAAGGAATCCAAAAAGAAGGGGGAAAAGACAGTTACCAAAATAAGAAATAGAACAGAAAACTTTTGGTGAGGCCCAGGGCACCGAGCCATTTAGCCAATGAGGTTACAGGACAAACGACACATTTGCAAAGGGTGCTGAGTGTGGTTACAGCAGGACACACGTTTCCAGGGTAGAAACCTGCCCTGGACTGTCTGCACATGGCGAGAGAGAGCTGTAGTGTTTCCAGAGAGGACACGGTACCACCATCATTTACCGCTGGAAAACCAAAGTCAAGCCCCTGCAGAGCAACCAAACAGGAGTCACAGGGAGGAGCTTAAGTGACACTGAGGTGGAAGCTGCTCCAGTAGAGCAGCTGGCTCCTGGACCTTTTTGTGGCGCTTGGACTATCACAGACCTGAGTGAAACGATAGATGATGAGATGAGGGAAAGGCTTCCTCCTACTTTTTGTCTCTTTCTAGCCTTTGTCCACTGTCTCTTGCCTTTGTGTAGTACATCACTTTTACCCATAAAGAACGCCACAATCATGGCAAAGCAACAGGAAGCATAGTAAATGCACCATGATAAGTCCTCAGTCTCAGTTTCCCGCTGTGGAGACCCTGGGAGGTTTGGGAAATGGCGCTTAAAAGAAAGAGTTCTGGCCAGCAGTGGTTGTCCAAGCAGAGTCCCTGGACTGTGAGGTCAGTGTCATCTGAAAACTCATCAGGAGTGGAAATTCTCTGGCCCTGCAGAGACATAGGCATCTTGTTGGACAAACCTACCAGTGATGGCGAACCTTTTAGAATTTTCAGTGGCACAAGCACTGAAGGTCGCTGCAGGACGTGTGCCACAGGTGGCCACCCCTGCTTGCGTGCTCGCGTCTTCAAGCACGAGCTCGTGCACTGGAGAAGCCTGCGGCGGTGTAAGCTGAGCAGCACGAAGTGGTCCCCGGCTGACGCCTAAAGTCCCCGCACAAACTGCTTGGTAATTTGCAGACAGCTATGTGATCGCAGAGCACGGACTTACAGGAAATGGCTTACTAAAGTTATCATTTAAAGACCATTAAAAAAAAACCCCAAATTAAGATTGGTAGTACAAAAGGCCTCTCTGGTGTCACTTTCCTGCTAAACTGACTACTGCCAAAGCCATTACTGGACCACGATATGTATCATTAACCTTGACGGAGAGGATCAGGAGTGTTTTGGTGGTTGCTGTTGCTTTTGGTACCGGGAATGGAACTCAGGTCCTCGTGCTTGCCAGGCAGGGGCTGTGCCACAGCGACATCCCTGGCGCCAGGGTTATTATTCTTTTTTTAATCCAAGGTCTCTTTGTCCAAATCTGATGGGACCGGCTAGGCTGGGGCGATAGTTCGGTGTTGGAGTGCATGCGTAGTGAGCATGCCTGAGGTTAGGGTTCAGTCCTCAACACCGCGAAAAGAAAAACCAAACCTGACAGGGTAAATCAGAACCTAATATCATCAGCACAGTGAAGTCACGATTCTAATATTTAAGAAAGAGTCTCATTATACCCACTATACCAACCCACACGGGCCTACCCCAACCTTCACGAGTGTGTGAAGCAAAGAGACCTTGGGTATGATGCAGAGTAAGTTTGGGGAAAGACGAGCACTGTTTTGTAAGGTAATGTTATTTCTTGACATTAGAACTTTATAAATTATGGATTAAAGCCATTTTCTTATTAGAGAGTTAAGGCTAAGACTAGTCTTATAAGTAAGATAATACGGTAAACTCACAAAATTTAAGTTGTATTTTAAAAAGTAGAATTAATATGTATTATTTTAAATCATTAAAGTGGTTTTAAAAATCATTAGGGAAGTATTATTTTTTCTTTTCTTGCCAGAGTACCGAGCTAATGTTTTCTTGATTGTGTCTGACTCTCTCCATCTCTGGAGTGACGGGTAAGGGGGT